CCCAAAAACAAGCATATTCCTCCCTTGACCAAACTAAGAAAAGGTCTTTCCCTTTCTTAAGGTACTTAAAATGCATCAAAATTAGAGATAATTTATGCATAACTCTGATTTGATGCCTCATACTTTTGTTCCAGCTTTTGTCAGCACTGCAGCAGAAAACTCCATTTTTAATTTGGAGTATATATTATTGCCAGTCACATAGCTTTGATAAATGTAGTAGACAAGGTATGGGAGAATAATTTGTTTCTTATTCAAAGATGTACAGTATAAATAAGTTGATACTGGGTTCTAACTAAGGGAAGACTAAAAATACAAATCCTTTGAATCTTCTAATATTTGCTACTATGTACATTATACCAAAGGACGTATACATACATCTAGAACACTCCCCTTCAAGATGTAACGTAAATATTGATCATACTCAGCTTGTTACAAAAGTAATCAACTTGAGTTCTGATCAACACCTTTGTGAACAAATCAACTAGTTGCTATGTTGTCTTTATGTAGCAAATGGGAATATCCTCAAGAATAATGACAATCAACATCAGTTCCTCATAGGAGTTCTAGAAGTCCATGAAAAAAGCCGTCACATATTAATCCCCTTTTCTCAACACAATAGAAACTCTTGCACACATAAACTCGAGACGCATTCCCTTTGTTAGAATATACAAACTCCAAATAATCCATTAATCCTTTGAGAAGTTCACAATGCATAGTCAAATCAACTTCACTATCAATAAGATTTAGTGGAATTCACTGGGTATGTTGTTGTTGTTGTAATCATGCATCATCTCTCATCTGTGTTTATTTTAGAGCCTGTTTGATGGGCTTATAGATTTTGGCTTATTTTTGTCTTTTCAGCTGCAAAACAAGTGCTTATATGCACTTTTTTATTTTACCCAATCACTACCAAAGTGTTTAAAAGCTATTTTGGCATAAAAGCACTTAAAATAAGCCAATTCAAACAGGCTCTTAGTTTCATTTGTAGGTGGCCTTCAACCAAATGGTCATAAACCCAATAGTCTTACTTCATCTCAATCAATTTTATTTTTTTTGCAATTGGTAACTTAAGTCTTAGTTGAAAATAATTAGAACCATATAGTCTATATTCTGTAATTTTTGACACACAGACTTGTTATCCACCATTTTAAACAAATCTACAGTAGCCAAAACAAATACTGAAAGAGAAACCTTACAGGCAGCAACCAACAAAACTTTCACAAAAATTGAATCAGATCTCCAAGTTCCAAAATTCAGCAACAAAATTCTAATGACATACCTGCAGAAACCAGATTCTAGTAACAAAATTTTAACTAAAAAACAAAAGCAGGATGGGCAAAATGATCTGGGTCCTTTAAATTAATATCAAATCTCCACGTGTCTATTTGAAGGCTGGGACCCGGACATTTAATGGATAAGCCGATAAGGGATATTATTGGCTCTAAGCATAACAGTAAGGATATGTATAATAGTGAAACGGAGGATAAGTATGAAAATAATTTGAAAGTAAAGGGGAAAATATGACCCTTTTCCGTAATTAAAATTGTAAAATACACCATCTCGAAGAAGTTCTGTGCAACTCTTGCTTTAATTATGCTTGAAAAGTAGATAGCTATGGTGTAAAAAGGAGATATGCTGACAATATATGACGGTACCTTAACATATTGATGAAATCTGATAAGAGATCCCCAGAACACCTCTCCATATCCTCAATAATTACAACCACTGGTTTCTCATACTTGCCATGGTCACTATACCATGATGCTAAGAGCGAAACATCAGCTGCCTTAAGAATCAAAAACAAGAATGATAGTGAATAACAATAAAGATGTCACACAAGATTTAGTTCTACTTAAATATGTGCATAATTATAGACTTAAATTGTCTACTTACTTCAATGTCAACCATAAGCAATTGTCTCAGAAACGCTCTGAGACAGCCCCCAATGCCATTCTTGGTAGAAAAATCCAAGGAGGAAATATTAGCCACATAGCATCCACGAGATTTCAAGTTTAAACCAAGTTCAGCAAAAGTTAATATGTCATCGACAGTTTCAATATTCTCTGCAAAAAGTCCAAGAATGTACTGATCAACACGAATGAACTACTACCCGTTGATAAAATATTATCAACAGGAACAGTGCAGGTAGAGTTGGGAATAGGAAATCAGGGTTAGATGGTCAGGCCATAATTCACACAATTGAACAACATTCTTGAAAAGAAACACGACAAATTTATGGGAGGAGTTGAGATAAGAAGTCTTTTAGAAAAACAAAATAGAAGATTTCAGATATTGGTTACCATCAGCATAGTTTCATATTTGCAAACTAAACATCTAAAAGAAATGAAAAATGAACTTACTGGTGAAGACCAGACCAGTGAAGAGCTTTTTAACTAAACCACCATTATGAACAAAAGGGTATGGAAGACTTGACTTTGATGGATCAACAGGCCCTCTACACGAACAAATTTCATTAAAAGATTCACGAACCCATTGTCCTATCTCATCAAACACGTCAGCATTTATACTCCTCAAGACATCCTAAATTCAATTCTCAAACAACAAGAAACAAGCAATTTAGCATCACTTAATTCACACTCAATTGGACTAACGAAAATATCTATAACATTTCAGGAAACAAAATTGGGGAAGAAGAACCTTAATCTTGGATTCAATTTTTGACCATACACACTGGAAAGCTTCCATTTTTATGTTCTCATTCTTGTTTTCATTGTTTAATGATACTTTTGGTGAAGAGTCAAGTCTTCTTTTGGTGGGTCTTCCAGGAGATATTGCAGTAGACTCTGAAGACTTTGATGCCTTGTGCAGCACGAAGAATGGCTATGAATTTCCACAGGAGCAAACATCCAAAAGCGGTTACATTCTCTAAACAAAATCTTACAAAAAAAAGTGGAAATTGGATAAGTAGTATTGCTATAAACCTGAAGATTGTTTTCTGCAAGTGGGACTGTATGAGGATGTTCATTTGGTGAATACATTTCTGAAAGAGAGTAGACATCAGTATTCAGGATTAGAGTAAGCTGGCTAAAGTCTACTATAGTTAACAGTGACCTCAAGGCTACAACTACTGAATTAAGTAACAAGTTAGACAACAACCACCAAACAAAATCGATAACAAGTAATGATTTTCAATACAATATTAATAAAGGAAAGAGCTATCAAGTAACAATTTTTTCCTTGAAAGAAGGGTGACTGCTAGGACTGGGCATTCAGTCAGTTCAGTTTGGTTTCTCAGTTTTCGGTTGGTGAAAATGTTAACCGAAAGTTTGGATCGCAATTTCTTATTCGGTTTTTCCCTTTGTGAAATTACTTTGTGCACAAACAAAACGACAATGAACATTCAAACAATCAAGTCGAGCGAGAAGACAGAAACTAACAACACACAAAAATCAAATGTGGCAATTTCTGGTTTCTGCTGGGGATGGGCATTCAGCTCTTCGGTTCGGTTATGTAAAAGTTCAAACTTTTTTCGGTGCAAGTGAGAAATAAAATGAGAATAAAATTATCATAATGTTTAACTTAACATGAAACTAATACATTCAATAGTGCCAACAATCAATAACTTGTAGTAGTAGCATCATTCAACAACACAATCCAAAAAAAAAGAACACTACCAGGCAGCAATCCAGCAGGTAGCAACACAATTTCTTCCTACTTGTACTGAGAAGAGAGACTGAGAGATACACTGCCCTGCTGGTCACCGGCGATTGCTGCTCCGGTGAGAGTGAGAGGCGGTTGTTGGCTCTTATTGGCTGCTACTGAGCGCGCGAAAAGAAGTGAGAACAGAAAAGTGAATCAGATGAGTTCTTTCTCTTAATGCAAATAGGGCTTGGGTTAAACTTAAATCTTAAATGGGTTAGGTTTTTTAAATTAAAATGTTTTTGGGTCAAAATATATAATTAAATGTAATTTAAAATATATTTAATAAAATTTTGATTATTCGTTGCATCGAAGAATTGTGATCCTTACATTGAAGACTGAATTTTCGGATAAAGAAAATTGAATTGAAATTTCTACATTTTTTTGATATATTTATGTTTTTTTATATAGTTTCTACAATATTTGGCCTTATGCATAACCTTATAAAATAAATGTTAATTAGTTTAATTTAAAATATAAGTTTATTACATATTGACTTCATCGGAGAGGGATATTGTTAATCATACACATTGTTATTCACATAGACGGAAAAATTTTGATAGTTTATTTTAAACAAGTCATCAAATTGTGTAGCCAAGTTAGAAAAATCAATCGATTGCGGGTCATGTCTTTCATAATTTGTTTTTGGACATTACCTTTAAAGAATCTATATTCAAATTGGAAAAAAAATTGTATCACAAAGATCAAACTCATTGTTTCTTAAACAATAAGAAATCGTTCTACTAACCAAACATGTCAAGTGTTTGTTAATCGGTGCGATTAGTAAAAGTTTCAAAACTACGAATGAATAAAAATAAGATTCACAATTTCAAATATCAGTTACGCCTAATATGAAATGTTCTTCAGAGATATTAATCATATATAATCACTATATTTTTCGAGATCATCAATATCCATTGTTTTCTATTATTATTTTTTTGGTAAATGTTCATATTTGTGAGATAAGTAAAAATAATTATACCACTACATAAGATCACTATATCTCATACAACCAATTTCATGTAAAATTTAACTTTCCTCATATACATAAACTCTTACCTTATTATCATTTATCTTAAAAAATTATTAAAATAAGAAATCGCAAAATATTTGAAGTGAGAACTACAATATTTTTAAATTGTGTAGTGAAATTGTATTCATAAAAACGTTCAACATGCAACTATATATAAATACCTCTACCTTATATTTCTACAAAAAAATATTTTCACGACTTAAACTCGTGACGTGTTAATTCACTGGTTGCTCCAAGACTCCTCTTAATAATATAGTAGAAAATAAAAAATATACCCCCAAATCCTATCCCTTTACAACCCAGCTTGAAATACGCCTATCTCCCTCTTATATCATTTTTTCATCTTCTTCTTCTTCAACTAGTTGAATGTTTGAGCAATGTCTCGAGGGACTGATCGGTTACTGAAGAATTTGAAGCAATTTACTGACCTTCAGTACAAGTACTTCACTAGCCGCTATGGACAGCAACTCATTGACATATTCGAATTTCCAATAAAGCTTGTTCTCTCACCTATTACACTTGCTTATGACATTGCCGGCTCTGCTCCGAGGGGGTTCGGTGTACCTGAATTCATCTCTAAGCTGTCTTATTCGACCATCTTTGTAAGTTCACCGCACTTTCTTGTATGTAATTGGAGAAGTGTAACTTTCTGCTTTTTTTACTTAATGGGTCGTAAAGTGTTTGTTTATATGTCATTGAGAGGCTGTTAATGGGATAGTATGTTTTATAGAATTTCTGAACTGGGTCTTCATATTTATGTTCATGTTTCATTGAAAAAGGCCTTGAATGGGGAAGGTAATTGTCAGTGTTTTGTGAACTGGGCTGTTAAGTGTTTGTTTATATGTTACTGAGAGACCGTGAATGGGACAGTCTATTTGTTAGCATTTCTAAATTGGGTCTTCAAATGAATGTTCATGTGTCACTGAAAAGGCTTCGAATGGGGGAGCCATTTGCCAGTGTTTTATGAATATGAACTGGGTTGTTAATTAAGTTGGAGAAGTGCAACTGTCACTGTAAGCTCACCACACTTTCTTGTCCATAACTGGAAAAGTATAATTATCTGTATTTCTTCCTGAATTGGGTCTTTATATGTTCGTTCATATGTCGTTGAGAGACCATGAATGGGACAGTCTATTGTTAGAACTTCTGAATTGGGTCTTCAAATTTATGTTCATGTTTCACTGAAAAGGCCTTGAATGGGAGAACCAATTGTCAGTGTTTTCTGAACTGGGGTGTTAATTAAGTTGGAGAAGTGTAACTGTCAGCATTTTTTTTACTTAATGGGACATTAAGTGTTTGTTTATATGTCAATGAGAGACAGTGAATGGGACAGTATAGTTGTTAGAATTTCTGAATTGGGTCTTCAAATATATGCTCACGTGTCACTGAAAAGCATTGAATGGGGAAGCTAATTGTCAGTGTTTTCTGAACTGGGTTGTTAAATGTTTGTTTATATGTTCCTGAGAGACCATGAATGGGACAGTCTGTTTGTTAGAATTTCTGAACTGGGTCTTCCAATTTATGTTCATGTTTCACTGAAAGGCCTCGAACGGGGAAGATAATTGTCAGTGTTTTATGAACTGGGGCATTAATTTAGTTGTTCATATGTCACTGTAAGCTCACCACACTTTATTGTCCATTATTGGAGAAGCATAATTGTCTGCATTTATTCCTGAATTGGGTCTTTGTTCATATGTCACTAAGAGACCATGAATGGGACAATTTAGTTGTTAGCATTTCTGAACTGGGTATTCAAATATATGTTCATGTTTCACCAGAAGGCCTTGAATGAATGGGAGAGTCTACTTGTTAAAATTTCTGAACTGGGTGTTTAAATATATGTTCATATTTCACTGGAAGGCCTCGAATGGGGGAGCCAATTGTCAGTTTTTTATCATTTATGTAATGGGGCGTTAATTTAGTTGTTCATATGCCACAGAGAGGCACTGGGGAAATCTAGTTGGCTTTTTTTATTTTTAAAAAAATTCTGAATTGGGTCTTCAACTGGTTTACTCATATGTCAACTGTGAGGCTATAAATTGGAAAGCCTACCCTTTTCTTTTTCCATTTTTCAGAACTGTGTCTTTAAATGTTTGTTCATATATCACTAGGAGCCCATGAATAGGAAGTTTTTTTCCAGCATTCCCTGGATTGAGTCTATGTAAGAGAGGTGATGGCCTGAGATTAATACAAGGACTTTTAAGCTGAAAGTATTTGTTCAATGAAGGTTACTCCTAACAGAGATATTTGGTGTTTTACTGCAGGTGGTGGCTACTCTGGGTACTTATGACATTGCAATGGAGCTCGGAAAGAAGGTGATCAGCCAGAGGTGCCCTTATAGTCTCAGCTCATGTTTACTTTTTGTTAGAATTTATATTCCTGAAGTTGAAGTGTCTTAAATTAGAAATAATGAAATTGATAAATCGTCCATGTCAAAAGTTTTGTTTTTTTGCTGATTTATGCACATTGTGCGTAAAAGGTCATCGAAAGATTTATAAAGGTATTGGGGCCACTCCATCCATTACCTTAAGGAATAGGTTTGGATGCTCACATTCCTTCATAGGTTTGGTGTGTCAATCCATGTTTTACTTTACAATGGACTATGAGCTTGAAAGATATCAGACATTTGTTTTCTGTGCTCATTGGTGGTCGCGTGTCCTTATGCAAAAGCTGATGTGGTAATCACAAATTGAAGTGAAAGCAAGAGAGCATCTTATTTGTCCCTACTGAGGGGAAGCTGAAATGCTTGTTAAATTTATAGTCAACTGGCATGTCTTGACATGTGTAGTTGAAAGAAGATGCTTGGTTCATTGACTGCAGGGACTGCCAGACATGCAGTGGATGGCAGGCGTTACAGTGCACAATGTGCAAAGGATCAGGCAAAGTGCATTACCAAGTGAAAAACTATACATTGAAAAGGTTGGTAATCATTGATAGACTTGTGCTCTTGCTGTTAAAATGAACATCATGTTCACATTTTATGTATTAATCCAATTTCTTGAACAATATTGTGGTCTTTGTCATAGTCTAAACTGCAAACTCTTAAAAGATACACTGAGGTGCTTTCACCCCCTTCTTCTCCCACGTCCTATGTGACTGTTAAAAACACACTCTAGTCTTCAGGTTTTTTATTTCGGATTTGGCAATGACAGTAGCTCGTGTAATTGCTGTTGGTAGCTCAAAGTGTCACCATCATCATGTTGGTGTACTGAGCCACCTCCTTCTTGTTTTATGTTATTAATCATCATAGTTGTGAAAAATCATAAATTACTCTAGGACAGGAAGATAATGTCAAACACACTGAATATTTATATCTATTTAAAGCTTCCAAACTACTGCTACAGGGGAGAAAAAGCCACAGCTGAATCCATTGCTGATGCGATAGCTGATAACAGAGCTGAGTTGGTGCACCTTCCTACCACAGTGGACCTTCACTTGCCACTGCCATCTAAAGAATGTCCCAGTTGTGATGGATCGGTGAGAACTGTTTTGGGAAGTTATTCAATTTTCATAATATAGCTTCTTAAAGGCTGAAAATGAACTGAGTGAGTCATGCCGGTAGTTCTTTTGGCTTGAGAAACTATCCAAAATGCCAAGGTAAAGAAAATAGAGTTTCATTCGTTATGGAAAGCCAAGTTGAGAATAGGGCTTATTGAATAAGTAAAGCCAAGCCTAACCAGAAATCAACTTGGCTCATGTTATTTATGTGGCATGTATATGTATTTTCATTCAGTGTTGTCAAAGGCTCGGCTGAAGCGTGTTAAGACCTGAAGCGACGAACAAAACATGCTGAGCACTTTGCCTCGCTTAGTGGGCGCTTCGGTGTAGTGATTGAGGCTCCAAGGCATACTTGATACTTTTCCCTACCAATGAGTGTTATCCTGAAGAGGCAACATTAAACAATTGATATTTACTTTATCTTAATTTCTTTGTCCATTGATTTGTTATTTGTGCTTCAGAATTACTAGTCTTTGACTACACATATATTATTGTATTTTTTCTTTATGCTTAAATATCTGACTGACCTTTAAGCTTTTTTGTACTTTTCGCCTTTGATAACACTTTTTTCATTTGATTTTAACTGTATTTTCCTGTGCTTCTACTAGGTAATAGGTAATATTTGTCAGATGATATTGACTTCGAAGACGACTTAAAAGCACCTAAGTTCAATCACTTAGGTAAATAGGCTGAATCCTGCTAAAGAACCCATAGCCCTAGCTCATGAAGATAGTTTTCAGATAATCTAGAACTAGACCTTTATCTATAAACCTGATTTGAGCTTTGATATCACCTCGATATGCACGATGGAAATCTAGCACACCTGAGTAGACGTGGAGCTCATCCTATTATTCAGTAATCTTGTTAAAGAGAGGCTGTTTTGATACTATATCAATGAATTTGAACGATGCATGATGCTTCCTTTTCATCTGGTATGTTATGAGTTAAGAACTGTATTTCTTTCTTGCACACACCAGCTTCATTATTTCCTTTAGTTGGATTTGTGTCAATTGTGTTAAAGATGGATGCAGTCATTATGCTTCACATGATCTTTCATATCCACCTAGGCCTGGTCTTAACTCTTAAGTAAGAACTGTTCTCCAAACTTTTTGAAACTTTAGCAATGGCTGTTGCTAATGATACCACTTATTCTGCAGGGTGTGATGAAATGCCCGGAATGCAAAGACAAGCTGCAAATAAGGATATCTGCAGATGATGTGAGTTCTATCCAGTCTTTACTGTTCTTTGTTCCAATTTCTTTTTCTACTGTTTAAAAACCATTGAGGTTTTTTTTTTACATTAAGCTAATATATTTACCATTGAGAGTTATTTCTAACATCATGCAAATATATTTGGTACTATTTTAGAATCATAACGGCAGTGACTTAGTGGTCAATGAAGTGGGTGCAAACTGCAAACCTTAGAGACCATAGTTCAAATCCCCGTAGAGGCAAAAAACACTACATGCTCATCTCCCATCTTCCCTAGCCTTGACGGACAGAGTTACCCAATACATGTTCTTGTGAGAGGTATCCGTCGGAATAGTCGAGGTGCAGGCCCGAACGCCACCATTATTAACAAAAACAATAAAAGGAAGAAGAATTCTAATGGCAGTGGATTTTACTTCTCAATAATTTTTTTAAATGCAACTTCCCGATCTTTTCATTTTCTAGTCATTTCATAGAAACAGTGTGTGATATTTTGATTATAGTTTTGACACTGCTTAGAATTCTAGTCATAACCCTTTCCTACTCATGCTAAGACTTAGAGACTGTGAAAACCTGCAACCTGTCAAGATGTCTGCTTCCATAAGTGAGGAGTTTTATCTTGACAAAATATTTCACTTGGTTCGCTCATCCATTTCATCTGCCTCTAAATAAAGTAAAAGTGTATGAACAAGAACGATATCTATGCTTAATTTCTTCGCAGTTGATAGATGTTCATTTAAATGGTTTCTCTGGGCATAAATCTGTTCCACTATATTGATTAATGCCGTTGAAATGGAGTATGGAAAAATATAGGTATCTGCAAACGAGAGGAAGTAGTCAGTAATGAGTCACAAAAACGCATCCATGGGGAAAACCTAGAAATCTAGTGAACCAGGAATCATTTTCTACACTCTGGAGTATGGTAAAGAGGAATGGCAAATAAAATGAGCACTAGATAATGTCCTTTTTCCCCATTTGTATTCTTGATGTCATGAATTTCCATTCTAGGAAGAATTTCTTTTCCCCCTTTTCTTTCAGTTTTGATTTACTTAGTCATTCTCATGTCTGTGTAATCTTTCAATGCTACAGATTATGGAGCCTCCTTGGAAAGCTTATAATATCATGAGAAAGATGGATTATCCTTACGAGGCTAGTGCTTTGTCATCCGTGTTTCTATTTTGTCGCAATGGATAACTGCTTACTATAATATGGTTTTTTCACTGCATCTCGTCCATCATTGCTTGATTTATTTTTTTTGTTCGATATGTCAAAGGATGAGAGGAAAGATTCTCATGCTGTTGGGAAGTGGGACAAGGATTTTTAAATAAAGAAGAATTGATTTCCTTCCTATTTTTTATGGAGAATGGGTTCAAGGGAAATATGTTTCTTCTTTCTAGTTACTTTTCCTTTTATATGACAGCCAAATTTGGGAGAGAAAATTCTCATTTTCTATTCATTGCCTACTTCCCAATAGCTGTCAGTGATCATCCTATTCACCAGATTGTCTTGCTTATAAGTGTGTGGCTTCTCAAATATTTTCTATAGAAAAGTCAAGTATAAGAAGCCCCTTACAACTTTGCACTTTATCATTTTCCCTCTTCTTTACTGTTACAGCATATTGTTGATAGTATGAAGGACCCCAGCATTGCTGCATTTTGGTTGCTTACCTTGCCTCAGATTGTGGGTGGATTTGAATATGATGATGATGTCAAGAAGAAGATTTGGTGGCAATATAAGGTTTACTTTTATCTTATGGTTGTCAAAGACGGTTTTTTTCTTGCTATTCATAATTGCTCTGTTATTTTGAGAATGTTGAGCATTTTACAGAGCCCATAACACATGCTTAAATTAAATATCTGTAACTTTTGAACTCTGTTAGTGCACACATTGAAACAGGAAATAAAAAGAAGAGGCAAACTCTATATTAATCAGATAAATGTGCTCACCCTATTTCAAGTGCACCAGAAACAAACTTGAACTGGTTAGCAACCTATTTAACTTTGATTATTATGGAAGTTACTCACATCAGTAAAGGATGAGATGCTAAAAAAAAGGAAGAAACTAATTGTTAGAATAGAAATAAGTATTTCCTACTTAGAATAGAAATAAGAATAGGAATAGGAATAGGAATAAGAATAGGAATCCTAGTTGGAAAAAGATTCCAATGTAGTGTCTATAAATAGGGTTTCAATGTAACTATTTAGATACACAATTCAATAATATTTTTCGTATATATTTCTCACATGGTATCAGAGCATTGGTGAGAACAAACAAGTCACCGTATGTCTATGTCAATTTCCGGTGACTGTTGGGTCTGATTTTGTTATACTTTTTTCTTTCTGTGGGTGTTGTGCGAAAACCAACACCACCACGAGGCTCGGAAAGCCCCCGCGACCAAACCCCAGCCAAAACCACCGGAAAACACCACCCCACGCGCTCTCACGCGCCTATCGGAGGTGGCAGTTTCCGGCGAGATCTGTCTCACGCGCCGGCGCGTGAGGGCTTTTCTGATCATATTTTTTTGAGATTTTTTTGACAGTTGGGGTCGTCCAGCCAATCCGACCAGGCCCATACTGTTTTTGACCAGATCCGATCGCCGGAATTAGAGTTCCAGCTATTTCCAGGCAGTTTCCGGCGACTTTTCTTCGAGATTTGAATTTTCCGAGACAAATTTAGCATAATGTCTTTTGGGTGTGATGTTTTTGGTTCCAAAAATATGGGGATTGGAAGTTCTAGCCCTATAATCACTTCAGAACTTTTATTGGGAAGTTCAAACTATTTATCTTGGGCTTCCTCGGTTGAGTTGTGGTGCAAGGGTCAAGGTGTCCAAGATCACTTAACGAACAAGGCTTATGAGGTAGATGTAAAGGCAAAGACTAGTGAGGAAGATGCAAAAGCCAAAGCACAATGGGAGAAAGTAGATGCTCAATTATGTAGTCTCCTATGGCGTTCTATTGATTTCAAGTTGATGCCCTTGTTTCGCCCATTCCAGACGTGTTATACAGTTTGGGAAAAGGCTCGTGCTTTATACACTAATGACATATCTCGATTCTATGATGTGATATCTCGATTGACCAACTTAAAGAAACAAGAATCCGATATGTCTACTTACTTAGGACAGGTACAGGCAGTCATGGAGGAATTTGACACATTAATGCCAGTTACTACGAATGTGGAAAAACAACAAGAACACAGACAAACATTGTTTCTAGTTCTTACTCTTGCTGGACTTCCTCCTGATCATGATTCTGTACGTGATCAGATTTTAGCTAGCCCTACAGTTCCTACAATCGATGAATTATTCTCTCGTCTCCTTCGTCTTGCGGCACCTCCCAGTCACAAGGTAGTTTCATCACCCACTGTTGACTCATCTATTCTTGCATCTCAAACCTTTGAAAAGCGTACATATCAATCTATGGAGAATCGGCGAGGAGGAGGGCGTTTTGGGAAACCTCGATCCAAGTGTAGTCATTGTCATAAGCCTGGACACACTCGTGATATATGTTATATTTTGCATGGTCCACCACCCAGTTATGATCCTATTGTTCTAAAGGAATATAATGAGTTCCTTCGAAATCGCGCAAGTAAACAGACATCTCCACCAGTAGCATATGGTGCTCAACCTAATCAACCATCCAATAATGCTCATATTGCTCAGACAGAATATGATGAGTTCCTTCAGTATCGTGCAAATAAGCAAACGTCTCCACAAGTAGTTTCGGTTGCACAACCTGATGTCTCTGTTGCGGGTAATTCTTTTGCTTGTGTGTCGCAATCTAGTACTCTTGGAACATGGGTCATGGACTCTGGGGCTTCTGATCATATCTCTGGTAATAAATCACTTTTATCCGATATTGTTTATTCACAATCTCTTCCAGCTATTACTTTAGCCAATGGGATCCAAACCAAACCAAAAGGGGTTGGAAAAGCCAAACCCCTATCTTCTGTCACCCTAGACTCTGTTCTTTATGTCCCTGGTTCTCCTTTTAATCTAGCATCTGTTAGTCGTTTGACGAAAGCCCTACATTGTAGCATAACTTTTTTCGATGATTTTTTTCTCATGCAGGACCGCAGTACGGGACAGATGATTGGAACAGGACATGAATCACAAGGCCTTTACTATCTTACCTCTTCAAATTCCTTAGCAGCATGCTCCGTTACAGATTCCCCAGATTTAATTCACAAACGTTTGGGACATCCGAGTCTATCCAAACTGCAAAAGATGGTGCCTAGTTTGTCTAGTTTATCCACATTAGATTGTGAGTCGTGTCAACTTGGGAAACACACTCGTGCTACGTTTTCTCGTAGTACTGAGGGTCGTTCAGAGTCTATTTTTTCATTAGTTCATTCTGATATTTGGGGTCCTAGTAGAGTCAGTTCCACCTTAGGATTTCGTTATTTTGTTAGTTTCATTGATGATTATTCAAAATGTACTTGGGTTTTCTTAATGAAAGATCGTTCTGAGTTATTTTCTATTTTCAAAAGTTTCTTTGCTGAAATACAAAATCAGTTTGGTGTTTCTATTCGTACTTTTCGTAGTGATAATGCCTTAGAATACTTATCCTCCCAATTTCGGGAGTTTATGACTCACCAAGGCATTATTCACCAGACTACTTGTCCATACACCCCTCAACAAAATGGTGTAGCTGAAAGAAAAAATCGGCATCTTATTGAGACCGCTCGTACTCTTCTCCTTGAATCCAATGTTCCATTGCGTTTTTGGGGAGATGCAGTTCTTACGTCTTGTTATTTGATAAATAGAATGCCCTCTTCTTCTATTCAGAATCAGGTTCCCCATTCCATACTGTTTCCTCAGTCACATCTCTATCCTATCCCTCCTCGTGTCTTTGGGAGCACATGCTTCGTTCATAACTTAGCCCCAGGAAAAGATAAATTAGCTCCTCGTGCCCTCAAATGTGTCTTTCTTGGTTACTCTCGAGTCCAAAAAGGGTATCGTTGTTATTCACATGATCTTCATCGATACCTTATGTCTGCTGATGTTACATTTTTTGAGTCTCAGCCTTACTATACATCTTCTGATCATCCTGATGTCTCTATGGTCTTACCCATACCTCAGGTTTTACCTGTGCCAACCTTTGTGGAATCTACGGTTACTTCTACATCTCCAGTTGTAGTGCCACCACTACTAACTTATCATCGCCGTCCACGTCCAACCCTAGTCCCAGATGATTCATGTCATGCGCCAGACCCTGCTCCTACTGCGGACTTGCCTCCTCCTAGCCAACCGCTTGCACTTCAAAAAGGTATACGATCCACTCGAAATACTAACCCACATTATACCTTCTTAAGTTATCATCGTCTATCATCACCCCATTATGCATTTGTGTCGTCTTTGTCCTCTATTTCCATTCCTAAGACTACAGGTGAAGCACTTTCTCATTCTGGATGGAGGCAGGCTATGGTTGATGAGATGTCTGCTTTACATAAGAGTGGTACTTGGGAGCTTGTCTCCCTTCCTGCAGGTAAATCTACTGTTGGTTGTCGTTGGGTTTATGCAGTCAAAATTGGTCCAGACGGTCAGGTTGATCGACTTAAGGCTCGCCTTGTTGCCAAAGGGTATACTCAGATATTTGGGCTAGATTATAGTGACACTTTCGCTCCTGTGGCTAAAATTGCATCTGTTCGTCTTTTTCTATCTATGGCTGCCGTTCGTCATTGGCCTCTTCATCAGTTGGACATTAAGAATGCTTTTCTGCATGGTGATCTTGAGGAAGAAGTCTATATGGAGCAACCACCTGGTTTTGTTGCTCAGGGGGAGTCTAGTAGCCTTGTATGTCGATTGCGCAGGTCACTCTATGGTCTAAAACAGTCTCCTCGAGCTTGGTTCGGGAAGTTCAGCACAGTAATTCAGGAGTTTGGCATGACTCGTAGTGGAGCTGATCACTCTGTGTTTTATCGGCATTCTGCACCAAGTCGATGTATCTATTTGGTTGTTTACGTTGATGATATTGTTATCACCGGTAATGATCAAGATGGTATCACCGATTTGAAGCAACATCTCTTTAAGCACTTCCAAACTAAAGACCTTGGCAAATTGAAGTATTTTCTAGGTATTGAGGTTGCTCAGTCTAGATCAGGTATTGTTATTTCTCAGCGCAAGTATGCCTTAGACATTCTTGAGGAGACAGGGATGATGGGATGTAGACCTGTTGACACTCCTATGGATCCGAATGTTAAACTTCTTCCAGGACAGGGGGAGCCACTTAGTAATCCTGAAAGGTATAGACGACTTGTTGGAAAGTTGAATTATCTCACAGTGACTAGACCTGACATCTCTTTTCCTGTGAGTGTTGTAAGTCAGTTTATGACTTCCCCTTGTGATAGTCATTGGGAAGCAGTTGTTCGTATTCTGCGATATATAAAGTCAGCTCCCGGTAAAGGACTACTCTTTGAGGATCAAGGCCATGAGCATATCATTGGATATACAGACGCTGATTGGGCAGGATCACCCTCTGACAGACGTTCGACATCCGGATATTGTGTTTTAGTAGGAGGTAATTTGGTGTCGTGGAAGAGCAAGAAACAGAATGTGGTTGCTCGATCTAGTGCAGAATCAGAATATCGAGCAATGGCGACAGCAACTTGTGAGCTAGTTTGGATCAAACAGTTGCTGGGAGAACTAAAATTTGGCAAAGTTGATAAGATGGAACTTGTGTGTGATAATCAAGCGGCTCTTCATATCGCATCAAATCCAGTGTTTCATGAAAGGACTAAGCACATTGAGATTGACTGTCACTTTGTCAGAGAAAAGATACTCTCGGGAGATATTGTTACGAAATTTGTGAAGTCAAATGATCAGCTTGCAGATATCTTCACCAAGTCCCTCACATGTCCTCGTATTAATTACATCTGTAACAAGCTAGGTACATATGATTTGTATGCACCAGCTTGAGGGGGAGTGTTAGAATAGAAATAAGTATTTCCTACTTAGAATAGAAATAAGAATAGGAATAGGATAGGAATAAGAATAGGAATCCTAGTTGGAAAAGGATTCCAATGTAGTGTCTATAAATAGGGTCTCAATGTAACTATTTAGATACACAATTCAATAATATTTTTCGTATATATTTCTCACACTAATAATTGAATTCTACTTCCTAATGCCACTCCTCTAGGTAGTGCACCAGAGAACTTCTAAGTAACCAATGCTATCCAACCAAAATCCAAAGTATACCTTTTTTTTATTTTTGTCTTCTGGCTTCCTATATCCCTAATGCTAAAAAAAGAGTTTGCAAGATTGGAAGGGGTAACACAGAACTCATCGAACTCAATTTATACCAATTACTAACAAAAATTTCAAACACAATTCACTCTATTGGTAGAATGAAGTTTGAGCACAAGTATACACAGGAAATTTCTGAACTTAGCAATAAGATTGAAAGCTAAGTTGTGCGGACTCTTCACTTTCGATGCAGCACCCGTGTCCGATTCTCCAAAAATACACTACTTATGGAGAATCCAACATGCACCCGTCGACATTTTTGAAGAATCCAAGCAACATAAATTGAAAGTAATCTATGGAATCTTCTCAAAATATCCAAGTTCAAGTCACGTGATTTCTTTTGGTTTTCTTTTTTAATGCTCAAAAGTAAATTTTGGAATCAGCTTAACATCAAGAGAGTTCATCATCTAGTTGATTGTGAATCTAGGACTTGTACATAGAGCTACATACCTATGCCCTGTGATCAATGCTATTCTCTCCCTTCTAGTTTCTGCGGCAACCTTTCCTTTTTAGTCTGTTCCTATAAGAATGACAACTTTCTAAATTAGGAAATGATTGAAGTTATACTTCCAATTTTACCCTTAATGAGAAGATTTTATAGCCACACATGTTATGGAATGTTTAAAACCACAGGCTTCTAAAGCCTTATAGCCACACATATCGTAAATGTTGTGACATGGTTATGATCATAGGTTTCAAAAATCTTCCTTTCTTAAACTCCATTCCTATTCAAACTTTGCCACATAAATTGGAATGGCGGGAGTTCAATTTTGTGCTGTTTGATTTTCAAGGATGCTTCATATTCTTTTTCTTTCTGTGGAAACGTGCTTCATCTAAGTTCACTCTGGTAAAAATTGAACAATGATATATTGGTAAGGAACAGTGGCTGAGCCACGTGTAAAGAAGGGAATTCAATTGAATCCCCTTCATCCAAAAATTACTCTACGCAATAGGATAAAAGCAATGTTTCTATATATATATATAACTTTTCGAATCCCTGTGAAAAAAAGAAGCTTCCAGTGTAGTGGAAAATGTAGATAAAAAATCATTTTTACATTTTTGACTCTTTGTTATAGTTCATGGCTCCATAAATGGCAAAGAAGTTAATGTTTCATAATCATATATGTTCTATTCAGATGATTATTTTATCCCAAGATTCCTATGCAAAGATTAACTGTGGTAGAGTTTCAACCTAAGTCACCAGTCAGCCTTATCCTATTGCTGGGTTCGGATACAGGAAGTCAGGAACCCGTTTGCTTTATTCAGATTTATCTACAAACATCCGCCACTCCATGTCAAGTAATCAGGTCTTTTATTGACATCTCTGTTGTTTTTCCCATCCTCTTCCCTCCTTTTAAGGATTAATGTATCTCAATTCCCTTCAATCTGCATAATCAAAGTTCTTTTAGCTATGGAGGAATCTCACAATACGAGTCTTGTACAATTGGCTGTGACATTCAGAGAAAAGCCATTTCAACTGTTAAACTCATTGAAGAGATGACTTTTCAGTTTTCGTCTATGATTATAATGAAGTTCTGAAGTTGTCTTCTTGTTGAGAAATTAGCATTTTCACAAGTAAAATATATTGACAAAAGACAACATATAGATCCAATCTATTCAAACTAAATTCATCGGCATCTGCTTTTATGAAAAATGACAGATGACATAGACTGCCTTATTTTATTTCATCTTTTACCTATTTGAGGGTTTCACACAGTCTGGAAGTCTAGAACACTTGTGAGCCAGATTTCGCTGACAGCTTATGTAGTCATGTTTGCATTCCAGGAATCTATGCGATATGATCAACTTCGAGATGTGGTGGCCAAGAGAAAACCTGGATGGGAGTATTTGCAAGAAGTATGACATATTTTTTTTGTGGTAAATATGTCTCAATAATAGCCAGATCAACTTTCTTGACTAAATTATCTTACAGGCCTTGGTCTCTATTGATCCCGCCCGAGCAAGAGAAGATCCTGTTATTGTGAAGAACATTCCTTACTTCAAGGCAAAGAAAGCTCTGGAGGCAGAAGTCATGAAGCTTGACCCTCCGCCGCGTCCTCAAAATTGGGGGGTGTGTTTTATCTTTGCTAGAGTTTTGTACTATTTCTGGTTACATTATTGTTTAAATGCCCGCTATTTTCTGTATGGTTCATCAGTCTGTAACCAACAACCTATCTAAATCGTGAAGTAAAATTGGAAAGATGTTAGAAGTTTATCTTGGAGTTATTGTGAATAACCATTGTACATTAGATGACTTGTTTTTCTGACAAAGTCCCCTTAAAGAAGCTAGCAAAAGACAGGAAAGCTCTGCTTATATTGGCTGTCTTAAGTGTGTATTAAAATTTTCTCCGCATCTTAGTTTAAGTGATTAATTTGGAAGGCAGCATGCTGTTGATTTGTCAGGAAGTTCTCTCTTGCTCTTCTATTGTTATTGTTATTTTCCTTATTCATATGGGATAATACAACCATTTGCAGGAGTTGAACCTTCCATTAAACGCATCTTCTTGGAGTGAGAAGGACCTCAAAGACCCAAAAAAGCTCTATGAGATGACAGTTCTTCTTAATGCACAGAGAGAAATTTCTGAAAAGATGCTGGATGCTCAGTGGGAAGCGAAATGGAGAGAAGAAAAGGTTGGCCCAGAGATTTCTTTTCCTGAAATGTCAGTAGAAAGTATAGAGAACTTCTAACCAACCCAACTTGTTTAAGACGAAGGCTTAGTTGCTGTTTGTCTAGCTATGAAGGGAAAAAATGTCGTATGGGTTTCTGACTATTTTTTAACCCTGTTCATCTGGACAAATTTGGCATTCTCCCATAAACATGGACACTTTAGTTTCCCTCATGATTTTACTGATAAAACTGCTAGGATAGAATTTGATGTTCTTGTTCAATCACAGAAGCACAAAAAAACATATTAGATGTATGGCTCCAGTTTCATTAAAAAAAATTCAAAGATCCATAAATGTATGCGGCTTCTGAATATTTTTTACCCGCTGTCTGCTTTGGTTTTTTGCTGGCTTTGTAAAGTATGGTTGGGTCAATGTTTTAAAGAGTGTCTAGACATGCAGTCCTCAAGAGGTCATTTGGTAGAGTCTATAAGAATAATGCTAAATAGAGTGTATTAGTAATGCTTAGTAATGTTTGCATTGATTATACATAGATTTCTTATGCTTTGTTTGGTTTGGTGTATTAAAAATAGCATGCATTGCATAAAAATATTTATTCACAAAGATACCCTTCACAATTATGGCGGAAAAGATGTAATTTTAGGAGCAATGGGGTCTTTAACCATGCTAATGCATGCATTAAAACCCCTTGCATTACTAATACCTAGAAATCCATGGTATTTGTAATACACACCTTAATGCACAATAGAGTGTATAATGATACATAGCATGAAAAAATATACCAAACAAGATATTACTAATACACAGAGTTAATGCATACATTACTTTTGCTAATACATTCTACCAAACGACCCCTTAAAGCTCTATCTCTGGAATGCAGATGACTGACAATACTGTATGTGTGGTACGGGTACCAGCTTTCTCTGGCATCTGAAACATGCATCTTGATTCATATTTTTTGTGTGATTGAACTAACAATTATTTCATATATTTTCCCAATATCTTTTGTTGGACAAATAAACATCTATATTACTGATATTAGTTGCTGATATGTTTTCTCCTCTGTGATCGTCTGTTTATATCTCAGCTTAACAAAATGTTGGAGGAGAAGGTACGACCGTACATTCAGAATATCGACAATACTGTACTTCCTCAACCTATTGTTATGGAGTCAGAAAGGAATCAGGATCAAAAGGTACTTTTGCCTCTTTGAGAATTTTTTTTTTTTTTTTTTGAATCCTAAGTACTGAAAAACCATATTTACAAGAGAGATTAGATACAGAGTATGCCAAAAACTAATCAAACCTAAATGGTATCTAGCACATCTTGGATTGATTTTGTATCCCCAGAGTACAATTTAGTACACCAAAAGCAAAGTAACAAAATACAATTTAGCTTAATCTTTTGTACTGAATTGCACCTATCCTCAAAACATCTATCATTTCTTTCTTTCCAAATTGTCCACCATATACATGAAGGGATGATCTTCCATCTCTCTCTGATACTGGCTCCAGCTCCCGCTTCCTCCCAGCCAAAAAGAGTATTGCTTGACATTGCCCATGCTATGCCTCTAAGATTGATGAAAATCTTCCATAGCTGATCTGTGATACTATAGTGTAGGAACAAGTGATTTATTGTCTCAGTTTCCTTTTCACATAAAAAAAATCTTGAGCATAGTGATATCCTCCTCTTGATCAAATTCTCATGAGTTGGGAAAACTTCTTTAGCTAGAAGCCAAGTAAAACATGCAACCTTATAAGGAATCTCAGTCTTCTTCCAAGGCCAAAAAGTATTCATTGGTTCTATCTGATTCAACAACTTATACCTTGAGCTGACTTTATAAAGTCCTTTAGGGTGTCCATTCCACCACAAACAATCTACACCTTCTTGCATCCCCTGAAAGCTCTCTAGTTATTTGAATAGTTCAACCACTCTTGGGATCTCATATCCCATCCTTGTTGAGTCCACATCTCAGCTACTGTATTGTGTTTATCTTGGGCAAGGTCAAAAAGATCTGGGAACAGTTCTTGCAATGACCTTGTCCCAATCCATTTATCTTTCCAGAACCTGGTCCTAACTCCATTGTGCACTCTGATCATTGAGTGTTTTTTAAGAAAAGGTCCGAAGGCTCTGATGGATCTCCACAAACTGACCTCATATGGAGTGGTGACCTCCTTGGATACCCAACAATCTTCTTCCTCATACTTGCTTTTTATGACACTACTCCATAGGGTTTAAGGCTCTTGTGCATATCTCCATAGCCATATGATCTTCAGGGCTTTGCACTGGTGTTTCAGATTCCTGATGCCAAGCCCACCAGCGAAACCCCTTGCCAGCGAAAGCAAGATGTTGCCTTCTGGGTCTAGCTCATTGCATCAGGCTTGCCTAGTGAGAGTTACCTCTCCTGTGTGGTTTGCAAGCTATTGCATAGGCGCGGGGGTTTTAATCTGTGCACACCCAAATTAATTGTGCACTTCACTTTGTAGCTTTTTGTTTCATGTCCCATAATCCGTTTTCTAAAGCAGTCACTTAAAGAATATATATTAACTTTATGTGCAGAGAAAGCATGGACGAAGGAGATGGTGGTTGTTCTGATTGTATTTGCTTTGCCAGTACAATTGCTACTAGACTCATGGGAAATCTAATGCTTATAGCAGCTCTTTATTTTTTGTAGATTGCACAAGTCTCTTTCTTTTTAGTTTTCCTTCCCCTTTATGTTCTTCTATTCAAGTGTTTGTTGTACGTTGCAGAGAGAAGTTGTCCCCCCTATTTATCTTATGTCACCATACAAAACAACAAATGTTTAAGATTATTATTAAGATTCAACAAGTGGTTGATGGGGCTCAATTCACACTTTGTTTTGCTGTTGTTTTTAAGTGGAAAAACATAGACGGCTTTCAAAGTTGGCTAGTATTTTCATTCGATAGAATGACCCGAGAGACCCTTATACTTGTTTTGATTTGTTATCGTGATCCTTCTATTCCAACAAGTTTCATCCAGACAAGTGGTGGCGGCAAATTGGCAGGTTGAAAATTGGTCAACATAAAATGAGTAATGATTCAACCCATCCATATTTCATATGGGTAAATGAATTGGGTAACAAATGGGTAGGGTAAAATATAAGTTTATCCATATTTACCCATATTTTCATGAATAAATAGTACTGAACTTTGGAATTCAACTTGGAGAAAATATTTTAGTTTTTTTTTTTGATGAAAAATGGTAGAAATACTTTATTTAGTTTTATTGTATTATAGAAGTCAAAAAAAAAATCCTATAACTTTTCAATATAAATAAATTTGTGTACTAACAAAGGTAAAATATTCTTAATTTCCAAGTAAATAAATATTTGCATTTTTGGAGTAAAATGTACTTAATGCACTTTAAGCAATATCAATACTAATTCATGCTTTACAAATATTTGTTATCCAATATAAAATTAAACAAATTAAAAAATAATTATTATTATTTAAAAATAAATAATATTTTTTTGGTGGGCACCTTTTTAATTATAGAGAAGAATAATTAGTTTTGCTGAAGAACATAAAAGAGAAAAGAAGTTGCAACATTTTTAGTGATATCATGAATTTTAAGTGAATAAAGTTGAAAGTTTAATCAATTTGACTAATTCATATTTTACTCATGAATACCCATATTTTTATGGGTTGAATATGAGTTTGAATCATATTTTATTCATGTTAAAGATCACTCACCCAACCCATTAAAATATAGATAGATTGAGCGGATTACCAAATAAGCTCATTTTACCAGCACTAATTCAGACAATTACGTATAAATGTTATTTAGGTGATCATCTACAAATCATGAGGTAGCTAAGCTTGGTAGGCGATAAGGTGAACCTTAACTAATTTTAGTCCATTATTAACGATTAAGAGAAAAATATAAGAGAAACTCTAAATTCAATCTAATAGCCATTAAATGCGGAAAATAGGAACAACACCCCCTAAAACTTGAAAGTATGTAGTGTGTTCACTCTTGAAACTCACTACAAACCTATTACAATGCTGGAAATATTGTTTCAAGCTCAATCCTAAATTCAAACTAATAGCCATAAAATGCGAGAAATAGGAACAACATCCCTAAAACTTGAAAGTATGTAGTGTGTTCGCTCTTGAAGCACACTACAAATCTATTGAAATGCTAAAAATACTGATCCATGGTCATCTTGACGCATTGTTGATCATGTTCAATTTCAATTCTTGAACTTTGACCAGTAACCGACTCAAGTGACTGAACCACTCCTCCGAGCCCCTTGGGCCTGGAACAAACTATCCAACTAAGTCATAAATCAACTTTGAATCTATTGGAATTGTCAAACTTCAATTCTGAGCTCATAAATTTCAAATTCCTACTTTTAGATTTCCTTCTCTGATACACATTCAACTGCCTCGAAAAAATCATGTCACTCATTTCCACAAGTCATAAATCACATTTTAAACCTATGAAAAATATCTTTTTAGAGGAAAGGAATCCTAGCCCTCTAAATAATTGAACGGATCTTTACAATAGTTTTTACAAATCGACCCCCAAAAAAGATTATTTTAAAATTAGAAAAATTAAAAAGGTATAAAATATTTTTATTATTATTCCTAAAAAATGTCACATAGAAAACATTCCACATGGCAGGTGTGTGTATACCACTTCCCTCGGATTGCATCATTTAGAGGATAAAGACTATCAAATAGTCTAATTTATTCCGATCAAGTTTAAGGATGTTTATAATAACTGATAAGTATTCCGCCTAAATGATATAATCATCTTCTTTTAGTTTATACTAGGTAATTTAATTGCGCTTTGCGCGGGCATAAATAATCTTTCTAAACTTTTGAATAACTTTTCCAATGATGGAAGAAAAAAAGTAAATTTTAGTAGGTTTTAAAAATATTTCAATAGAAATTAAATGATTTGACATTATCACATATCTAAAGAATTGTAAATATATATTGAATGATTAAAAATATCTTGAGATCTAATCATTTTTATCTTTTACATAATTTATCATAATATATGTTTGATGATATAATTGTGTTGTTAAAACTGAGTGATTTTTTATGTAGCGATTAAATATAGTTTTTCTATTTTTTTGTACATGAAAAATATAGAATCTTATAATTTTATGGTTAGAATAACTCCTTGTGAAAAAAAAATTATGTAAAAGGTTTTGATAATCAATATTAGTTATAAATAAGTTAAGTCCGTTAAAAATGTACACCACAACGATATAAATAAATTTTTTTAGAGACAATCTATTTGTCTGAGGTCAAACGTTCACTACTTTTCGTTATTGTTACTTTGTTACTCTAACAAAATTTATAGAAGGAGAAAAAATAATTTGAAACAATAGCAAAAAAATATTGTTGACCCTTTTAGAAATTAATTCTATATTAAACTGCTGCTTTGAAGACTCTTCTAGATGCTTCATCAATGCAACTTTACTATTTTTTTAGAAATATGCATGTATAATTGTTGCATTATGAAAGCACAAGTAGATCAAAATGTTGGATTCTAAAATCATGTTAAAGAAATATTCTCGAACATTAAAAATTAAAAATGAGTCTAAAACATACTTTTAGTGGCGACTATTATAGGCATTAGCAGCGACAAATGTTGCCTTATGGATATTAGCAGCGACTAATGTTGCCCCTAAAACATTCTTTTAGTGGTGACTATTATAGGCATTAGCGGCGACTAATGTGGCCACTAAAACATTCTTTTAGTGGCGACTGTTATAGGCATTAGCGGCAACTAATGTGGCCACCAAAACATACTTTCGTGGCGACTATTATAGACATTAGCGGCGACTAATAGTCACTAAAACAGTCTTTAGTGGCGACTATTTTAGGAATTAGCAGCGACAAATGTTGCCACTAAAACGATCTTTTAGTGGCGACTAATATTACCACTAGAACATACTTTTCGTGGCGACTATTATAAGCATTAGCAACGACTAATGTTGCCACTAAAAAATTCTTATAGTGGCAACTATTATAGTCATTAGCGGCGACTAATGTTACCACTAAAGTATGCTTTTCGTGGCGACTATTACAAGCATTAGCAGTGACTAATGTTGCCACTATAACATACTTTTAGTGGCGACTATTATAGGCATTAGCGGCGACTAATGTTGCCACTAAAGTATGCTTTTCGTGGCGACTATTACAAGCATTAGCAGCGACTAATGTTGCCACTATAACATACTTTTAGTGGCGACTATTACAGGCATTAGCGGCGACTAATGTTGTCACAAAAACAATCTTTTAGTGGCGCCTATTATAGGCATTAGCAACAACTAATGTTGCCACTAAAACATTTTTTAGTGGCGACTACTATAAGTAGTAGCGGCGATTAATCTTGTCACTAAAACAAACTATTAGTGGCGACTATTATAGGTATTAGTAGAGACTATTATGGATATTAGCAGCGATGAATGTTGCCACTAGAACATTCTTTTAGTGGTGATTTTTATAGGTATTAGCATCGACTTATGTTGCCATTAAAACATTCTTTTATATATATACTAGTAAAATTACTCGCGCCTCGCGTGAAATTTTAATATTACGAAATTTATAAAATAATACTTAAAACATATTAGTCATTTAAAGTAAAACACTACAAAGAAAGTGATAATTATAACATCTTATTATTTATTTTTCAATCAATCATCTTTAATTTGATTTTATAATTTATCATTTTGCTCCAGCAAGTGTTACTATTCGATATTTTTGAGGAATCAAATGCATCAAATGGTAATATTAAATATTCTAATAAATAAATAATCGTTGGTGTAGAGATAAATAAATAATCGAGTTTACTAAATGCATAGTGTACCCTTACAAAAATGATTCCCCTATAATACCCGAGGTTTAAAGGAATATATTCTTTCATGATAGGACAATTATATTCACCAGTTTATTGATACAAAAACAACGGTGAAGTGAGTCACTCAATAGGAGCAAAGTATACGAATGTTTAATTGTGCAAAAGAAGAAGAAGAAGTAGTTCAAAATTTTTGTTCTTTTAAAATGAGAGGAAATCTCTCTATTTATAAACAACAAAGGGTAGTGTGAACAAATATTTATTGTGCCTTATCAGAAAGGTCACAGCCCTTTCGGAAAGGTCACAATCTTTCATAAAAGTCACAACTTTTCATAAAAATCGCAACTCTTCATAAAAGTCTCAAGTCTTCAAAAAAGTCACAACTTTTCATAAAAGTCACAACTTTTCATTAAAGGGGAAGACTAGTTTTGGAAATAAATAAATTAAAATTAAGGAAATCCTGAATTCTGGTGGCGCCACGTAGACGGGCATAAAGTTCTCTTTTATATATATATATGATATGATGATTGTATATTTTCTTCCATTACTGACCGATCTGGTGGTCTATCAAACATATATACACATAATAAATTAAATAAGATGTACAAAATTGAAAATAAACGAAAGGAATAACAAAGTAAAATGACAATCTGTAATTTATTTCACCATATACTTAATTACAAAAATCATCTTCAATGATGGTATACAGCATAGTTTAAACAACAGAAAGGGAAATAAAACACTTAAAAAGTTAATTATTTCCTTGTTGTTGGTAATCTTCTTAATATATCATTCTCTACGAATTTAGTTAAAATAAGAAAAAAATATATA